ATCCCAGAGTCCTGGGATCGAGGCCCGCGTCGGGCTCCCTGCTCAGCAGGAAGCCTGCTTCTCCCTCTCCCACTCCCCCTGCTTGTGTTCCCTCTCTAGCTGTCTCTCTGTCAAATAAATAAATAAAATCTTTTATATAAAAGAAAAGTATTTGGCAACCATTGAAGGGGTTGTTTTTTTTTTTAAGATCTAATTTATTTATTTGATAGAGCATGAGCAGGGGGAGGGGCGGAGGGAGAGGAAGAAGCAGAGTCCCCACTGAGCAGGGCTCATTTTCAGGACCCTGAGATCATGACCTGAGCCAAAGGCAGATGCTTAACCAACTGAGCCAGCCAGGTGCCCCCATTGAAGGGCTTCAAAGGACATAATGTTTGTCTATTTCCAAAAACTGATTCTGGTGGATCCGTGTGGAATGGATTTTAGGGAGGCACAGGTGGGACAGCAGGTGGAAGAAGGAGAAGTCCTGGCGAGATAGAACGCTGAGATGTGGCTACGTAAACATTGGGGCTGTAAGCGTAGCCGGGCACAGTCTGCAAATAGTGATGGAAAGTGGGTGCGTTTCATGTTAGAGATCTAGAAGGATTTGTTTCAGTACTCTCATAGTTAGCACGGTTATTAAAGTATTATCAAAATTCTTAATTTGGGGAGTTCTGGTCCATATGAAATATGACATAAAACACTAACAGTGAAAAGTCTGAGTTAAGTAGTTTTTTGTTTTTTTTTTAAGATTCTATTTATTTATGTGAGAAAGAGAGCACATATGTGAGCAGGGGGCTGCAGAGGGAGAGAGAATCCCAAACAGACTCTGCACTGAGCATGGAGCCTGACACAGGGCTCCATCTCACGACCCTGAGATCATGACCTGAGCTGAAACCAAGAGTCGACGCTTAACTGACTGCACCACCAGGCACCCCTGAGTTAAATAGATTTTTAAACATAAATGTGTTAGGATCTCAGCTCATCTCTAAGCACACACGGTGTCATCTCAGGTAAAATTGGGATTTCTTACACAATCCAACACCATTTCCTGAGTCTTTCTGTGTTGTGTGATATACTTAAATGTCAGCTTGCACTTGGAACCTCAGTTTTCCCATCTGTGAAACAAGGATCACATTGCATTGCAGGTTGCTTTAGGAACTAAATGGCACAGTGCTTGGCATATAGAGAGATTTGGCAAAACCCTATAGCCACTGTTAATAACAGCCTGGAAAAACACCTTGATATCATTTCTTTGATTCATAAGGAAGAGGCGAGGCATCCTTTTGCTGGTGAGGAAGCAAATTTCCAAGGAAATTAATCAAGCTGGCCCAAGTCACCACGTGAGCCTTTGTTAAAGGTAGAGCTAGCACCCGTGTGGTGATGAGCTCCCCGTGCCTAGTCCGCGCCGCGCATCCTGCCATAGCTGGTCCAGGACCTGACTCAGGCCCTGGCTTCTGTGACCGCGCCAGAGCTGTGAGTCTCCCTGACTCTGTTCCCTCTTGTTTGTTGCCTCTGGGTTTGGGATTATTGCTTCCTTCTGTTGCTGTGTGTCAGGGCCTGTTTGTGTCCCAAGGCCAGGAGCTTCCATACAGAGCTTGCAGACCAGATCTGAGCTCTGAGAGAATTGCTGTATGTTTTCTGGCTGTGGATTCGTTGCAAGAGACAACTTGTGGGAAGCCAAAGAACTTTCCAGTACTTCAATTTTACACGGTAGTGTGTTAATGTCTTTCACCACTTCTTTTCTTTAGAATTTTAGACCATTGTGCCAGATGCCAAAAACAATGTACTACTGCTAATTTTGGTGGTATTTAGTCAGGTTTTGAGCACTTTCTCCTTTTTAAATAAGGATGTTAAAAAGTTTAATAAAGTCACCTGTTCTGACCATAATATGCTCTTCTAGCAAGTCTTCAGTAGTTATCTATAAAATAGTAACACTTTTATTCATGTTTCCTTATAATCATTTTTAACAGAGAAGGATTTTCTTTTCTCTCAGGAAAAGTGGTAAGAGCCCATTACCCAAATCCTTGAGAGACAAATAGATAACTGAGGCCAAATGCAAGTGTCCACGAGGTCACGGTCATTAGGCAGTGCAAGCGGCTGGGGAGCAGGCTTCTTTCCAGTGTGAGAGATGACCCCATGTGAAGAGAACACCATTGTGGTTTTAAGAATTACAGCAGCGTCTTATTCTTGGCATTCGCTTAATCTTTCGTAATATCTCATTAACACTTCTGTGGCTTTTTGTTGCCTTGTTACATTTTTAACCACTTCAGACCTTTTTTAAAAAAAAACATGTCTTGAACTTTTATCCCAGTTTTAGTATATGTGCTGCTGGGGTGAGCACACACATCTTGAACTTTTAAACCTCTGAGTAGAGTAAAAATTCTAATGTGTGAAACTCTTTGATGAAGGAAATAAGTGCCGTAAGTGCATACAGTTCTTTGAAATACTTTTATAACCTGCTTTTTAAAGCTTGTGCAAGGAGGTCCTGGTTTAACATTATATATTGAAGCTATTCTAAGATTAATTTTTAAAAGATTAAGTAAATGCCAAAGATTAGATTCTTACAGGCACTTTCAACTTATCACCTTGTTAATATTGATGAAGTCACATAATAAAGTCATTTGACTTTTTCACTTCAAGTCAAAGAGTAATTGTGGCTGAATCTTCAGTGTTTGTTACTTTAAAAATTTTTTTTGTAATCTTAATTGTAATCTCTACCCAAGTGGACTGATAGTGGTGACCTTGTTTGTCTTTCCCCAAAGAGATAAACAGATCTAGATAAACATAACAGCTTTCTGTCTTAGCTCTTTCTTGTGTAGTTCAGGTGAAATTGCAAATAATTTGTTTGTTTGGGCAGGAGGGCTAGAGAGGGCATTTCCTTCTGAAGAAAGATGACCCTTCTATCTCACAATGGAAAATTCACTTTGGTATTTCGAGTATTCTTGGTCAGACATTTATAGGGTTAGTATTATTCTCTAGCATTGTTCCTCTTTATATTGTTTTTCTGTGCTTTTTTTAAAGTTTGTTTTTTTTTTTTTTGAGAGCGCGTGAGTGCAAGATGGGGGAGGATCAGAAGGAGAAGCAGACTCCTCGCTCAGCAGGGAGCCTGATGTGGGGCTCGATCCCAGGACCCTGGGATCCTGACCTGAGCCGGAGGCAGCAGCTTAACTGACTGAGCCACCCAGGAGCCCCTGTTTTATTGTGCTTTTTGTCATACTCAAAATTAAAGGCACATACCTTTACAAGATAGCTGTATGCTGAATAAATTCTTGTCCTCAGAGGTGGCGTGCACAGCTTTACTAAGAGAGTAAAGCTCTGCCTCTGTGGGGAGCAAGTCTGACCCAGTTTCTGAAATCTGGGTGTGCAGGCAACACACCGGGCTCTAGCTATACATCTTAAGTAACCCACCTGAACTGCTACAGTTAAGAATGAAATGCCAGTAGGGTTGTATGCGTTATGAGAAAAAATTTCTTTTTTAAGATTTTATTTATTTATTTGAGACAGAGAATGAGCCAGCATGGGGTGGGGGGAGGGGCAGAGGCAGAGGGAGAAGCAGGCTTCCCGCGGAGCAAGGAGCCCGATATGGGGCTCGATCCCAGGACCCCGGGATCATGACGTGAGCCGAAGGCCCTCGCTTCACCGACTGAGCCACCCAGCCAATAAAAAAGACACGTTACTTTGTTCCTGTTGTCAAAACAAAAAACGCAGATGATACCAGTTCTCTTCCAAAGACACAGTTCAGTAGGAATGTCCATTCTGCATAAGAATAGAACTACGCTATAAATTATAGAGTAAATGTTTAGTATCTGAGAGGAAAGCCTGCCCATTGTTTCTAAGATTTTTTTGTGTATTGAACTCAGGTTGCCCCAGGCCAAGGAAACATTTGAACTCCTCGCAGTTGAGAAAGAGGAGCCCGCAGGACTGTGATTCTGGCCTGTGGAAGAACAGGGTAGGGGTAGAAAGGGAGGGAACATTTTTGTCCAAGGATACAGTATACTAGTACAACTTAATCTAATTAAAGTTAACTGATGTGGAACTTGAGGCTAGGTGAAGTTCCCAAGCTCAATAGACTTGTTCACGTGTGTGTATCAGATAGTTTCATTAGAAGGACTCATCAGCTTGAAATGGAAAAGATTTCTAATTCTTGCTTATTTTGTGACTCATCCACGTAACCTGGACTTTTGAGGTTGGGGCTGTCCATACATGATGTCTAATGTTGTCCTCGGTTTACGGATTCAGAAACTGAGGGTCCTCTGTCAGTGGCCTGTCCCACGGCCACAGAGTTTGTACGTGGAGAGAGGTGGGGGGTCAGATGCTGTCGGCTCTTTTCTTGACATCATACTTTCTCAGAGGGGATCAGCTAGGAGAGTCCGTACAATTGTTCCATGTCCTTGACTCATTCAAGGTCAGAAAACTCGTGAATTCTCACTTTAATGACATTTTCGTATTCGGAGCATCCTCCCCCCCCCCTTTTTTTTTAAAGATTTTATTTATTTGACAGAGAGAGACACAGTGAGAGAGGGAACACAAGCAGTGGGAGTGGGAGAAGGAGAAGCGGGCTTCCCGCCGAGCAGGGAGCCCGATGGGGGGCTCGATCCCAGGACCCTGGGACCATGATCTGAGCCGAAGGCAGACGCTCAACGACTGAGCCACCCAGGTGCCCCAGAGCATCCTCCCTTTTTATGACGGAAAACACACTCTACTCTCTAATTGTTTAAGCACAGGTACGGATGAATCAGAATGGGCCCCACTTACCCGGCAGGTGAACGTCAGCTCAGGTGTAAGGCCTCGGGAAGCCTCGTTAGCAGCAACGGAGAGCCCTTTACCCTCCTTTGGCCAGTTCACATTAAGAGAATCAAAAACCACCACCTCATTCTCAAAATCCTTACGTCAGTCTACTGTAAGCTTTGGTTAGAACATTCTTATTTCAAGGTCTCAAGTAATTTGGGGGTTGGTCACGGGAACCCTCACTGCACATGCAGACTGCCATGACTGAGTGCCCTGTTCTTCCCTTTCTCTAGGTCCATCATCAGCAGGAGGTTCTTCTGCATAGTCGGCACGCTCTACCTTTACCGTTGTATCACGATGTACGTGACCACCCTCCCGGTGCCCGGCATGCATTTCAACTGCTCTCCGAAGGTAAACCTTTGCTCACTGGGATCGCCCTCTTGTCTGTCTGTCGTCTTGCCCGGGGGTCCTCTGACTCAGGCCGGAGGTGGCCGTTGCCTGAGGATATCATCAAAGCCCCACGTCCTTATCTGGGAACGTTACTAAGCAGTACAGCAGGGCGCCCCCCCGCCCCCTTCTCAGAATCCCCAAGCCCGCCAGTGTTCCCCGGCTCGGAGCATACGTGTCTAGTTAGTGTGCTGGAAGCAGTGAGGCTGTGTGTGGGGGTGTAGCTCTCTGGTCTCCTGCCAGAAGTTTAAAATACCATTCACTCCCTTGACACAGATCCAAGAGCTTTCAGATGCTTTTTCCCTCTCTTGGATGGAAAGTGTGGCTTCCAGTGGTATGTTTCCCTTCTTTCTGTTACTCCCTGCAGTGGTGATCTGTAAGGGCAAGAGACACCGTCCCTGTCCCCTTGCACTGTCCGCCCACCCAAGCAGGGTCACTCTTCCCTGGAGGCACATTTTGCCCTGTTGATCTTCCCTAGTAGCACAGAGACCTTTCTTTACAATAAACTCTATTCCTCTCCCATTGGCTCTGTTTTTCCATCAGGTTCACAAAATACTCCTGACCCCCTAACCTTTACCTTACGACGCTTCCACCTAGGGAGACCACTGGGACTTCTGAAATAATTAGCAGAAGATTCAGTTTTTACAATGTTTGCCCGCCACAAAGCTCTAATGCAATAAGAATTAGAAGAGGCTGGCTTCCTTGACTAGGTTGGGAGGATACAGGGGATGCCATGGTGCCCTTGCAATCATTTTTTTGCATCGCACTTGCATCGGTAAAACGCTCATGTGCTTTCGATTCCATCCCCTTTCACTTTTGTTCTTTCCAGAAGAGTCTTCTCTGCTAGAACTGGGAAAGAGAGCAGAAAAAGTCACCAGGGTTTCAAAGTGGTGTCTTCATCATTTGAAATTCTGGACGCTGCTAGGTTACTTGCTTCACCACGTCCCCTTCCTTCTTAGACTGAGGTGTGCACTCAGGAAGGTAGCTGGTTCCCTGCTTCTCTCTGTTTTGGCTTCAGACTCTTCACTGAACTCTGGAGAAGCCACCATAAAGAATGAGTGGTCCCGTCGTCCCTGTCAGCAGCCTCCTACCCCACCCTGCACCTTCCATCTTGTTCCGTCCTCCTCCAGAGAAGCCAGCCTCACAGCTTCTCCAGCCTCTCTGAAAGCTCTCGAGCACTGCCTATGGTTCCTGGGTTAGAGGAAATCTCTTATTATCAGTGAGGGTCCAGTGATGTGGACTCTTGGTGGGAGCCTGGCTTGATCAGCAGTGTGTTCTCAGTAGTAGGCAGACAGTTTAGGATATTTGCCCAAGTTTAGTGGAGCTTCTTAAAGTCTGTGCATGGGGAAATTTATCCACCAGGGAACACGGCATGCCGAGCCAAGCCCGCAGTCATGGATGCGACGTGGAGGGGTTGTGCTGTGTAGATGTTCTCCCTGCTCTGGTCCCACCCGCAGGACCTCTCTCTGCCACTCCATCCAATTGCTGGCAAGCTCGAGCTTGGTTAGCATTGGCGCTCAGAGAGTCTGTCTGAGTCATCAGCAAATTCAGCCAAGGTCCCGTGGCTATAAATAGTTGTGGTTTTTCTTGGTAAAGACAGAGGTCACAGCAGGATCTGTGGGGGGGAAAAAAAAAAAACCCCAGCCCAAATTGCCACTCATATATGGTTTTGCCAGAAATCCCGACTGGGGCCATCCTTCCATGACGGTCATTTGGAAATTGGGATTTTTTTTTTAAGTAAAGGAACACAGGAGGGGATGAAACGTAAGCACAACTTAGCAAAAATAATTAGTTAAGGACTCGTTAAGTCTAATTACTTCTTTTGTAAAACAGGCTCTTGGAGGAAAGGATTCAGAAAACAATTTGCATTCTGAAAATTTTCATACGTTATCGCCCAGAGTAGAGAAGCTCATAATGGAACCTCCGTATACCCAACACCCAGATCCCATAATTATCAAGACTTGGCTGCATTTGCTTCATCACATTTTTTTTTTTTTAAGTATTTTAAAACAAATGTCAGACAATGCCATTTGATGGCTATAGGCTTTAGTATGCATCTGAAAATTTTGGACATTTTATGGCTAACTTTAATGCTGTTGGTATAGTGAACATGATCAATGGTAATTTTTTGGTATTGGCAGTTATCAGTTCATGGAATATCTTCATTGTCTTAAAAATGCCGTTTTTAAAAAATGGTTTGTATAAATTAGGAGCCAACATCTTTACATTTAGTTGCTGTGTCTCTTAAGTCTCTAATTCTAGGCAGTCCTTTCTCCCTTTTTTACCCCCCTGCCATCTGTAACTCGTAGAGATCAGATGGGTTATTCTGTGGAATAGCCCACGTTCTGGATTTATCCGTTTGATTCGTTGTCATGTCGATTAGCCTTTTTCTCTGCTCCATTTCTTTCTCTAAATAGAAGGTGGGCTCTGGAGACTTCATTTAGTTTGGGCAGGAAGACTCCACAGGTAGGATGATTTCTGAAGCTGGACAGAAGAGTCCAGGGAGGCCATGGAGGCTGGTGCTGCCCCTGGCCTGGTGGCCCAAGCCCAAGGAATCCAATGGCTGGTCCAGGCTAGCTCGCCACCCTGGGAGCCGTGTCACTGGGAGAAGGGGCGCCGGAGAGGGGTCCCAGAGGCCAGCATGGCTGCTTACAGTCCAGCCCGGGGCTCTTCGGTCAGGACTGAAAGGATTCTCACTAAGAGTCATCCGGTCTAGTGGCTCCATTTGGGGTCTCCCCAGAGCAGCCTCCCCTGAACCATTGCACAGCGAGAGGGCTTCTCAGCCCTTAGAAATACAGGCCAAGTCATAGGAAGAACGGAGGTCGGAGGCAGCATGGGCTTGCACCCCCGCAGCCCTGCCCCGTGGCACTTGTGTTTACTTCTCAGGGCCTCTGGGCCTTGATGGGCAGCACGGCGCAGAGGACGCTTTCTGGGTCTGTCCTAAGGAGCTCTGAGAGTGAGTGGCAGTGACACGTCAGGGGCTCTGTGGGTACAAAATTCCAAACGGAGGCAAGAAGAGAAGCTGGTGTTGTGACCATGCTCTATCTCCTACGTCTGACCTGTCCAGTGACCGTTCATTTCCCAGGCCTGCGTGAGACACTTTCTGTTTACTGTACACTGTGAACTTGGTTCTGCCATCCTGTTAGGCCCCATTGTTGGCCGGCTTAATTCTTCCCGTCAGGCGAGTACTCACTCCCTGTGGCTTCTAAGAAAAGCGGTCCAGCAGGTCTGCAGTAATTATGAAATTGTTCCCATTGTTCATTCATTTGATGGCGGCGTGCGCTTCACCCGACAAGATGTCATGGTTGTGGGAAATGAGGAGGAAGGAGAGTGGGCCTCCCAGCAGGTGCCCCTGCCACAGAGAGGAGCCACGGGGAAGCTGGTGTGTTCAGTTCCCAGCGGAGTTTCTGGGCCGCGCTTGTCCTATAGCCCTGGTGGACGCGGGACGGGCTTCCAGCCGAGGCTGCCGAGCGTCTGATGCTGGGAGTAGCCTGTTCAGCTCAGCAAAGCGTCTCTGCAAGGAGCATGTGGGCAAACCAGAACACCCCCTCTTGTCATCTTGATCCCACTGTTCAGGATTCAGTTTAAAAAAAACCCCAAAACTGTGCAGAAATATTTGAGAATTCTTTAGTGGTCTTAGCTTCCTGTAAGAAAGTTTTTTCTAACTGTTGTAGCAAACTCCAAAAGGAGGGAAAGAAAGAAACAACCTACCCTGGGCCCCCGATCCAGACAGCCGAAGGCTGAAGGCGGAAGTAACTTGCTGTTTTCGACTCTCATCTTAGTAGTTGCGGGAGTTAATCCGTGACTCCGTGGCTCCAAGATTTGCACACCTTGGAAAAGAGGGGGCTTGACTGGAGCGGGGACGCTGCACTCTGTGGCACGGTTTTCAGTGGTGTGGTCCTTCTGCGCGGGGAAGAGCCCCCTGGTGGACAAGGGCTGTGTTTGCGTGGCTTGGGGGGTAAGGGCTCGGTGGGACAGAAAGTAGAGTCAGGACAGAGGGCCTTCGTAGCCGCTCCTGCTGTCAGTCATGCTGAGTCACAGGCACGACAGAGGTCAGAGCCCCTCCTGCACCCCGCAGCTGAGTGGTGCTGGCCCCATCTCCAGGCTCCCAAGGCGAAGGGCCCGCGCTCTTGGGGACCCCACGACCTGTCGGGTGTGTTCTCACGCTCTCGGGGGGCAGCGTGGGTGTGGCAGGCCACCCTCCACGCTGACCACTCTTGGTGGTGTGATTAGCTCCCGCCAACCTTACCAGCATCTCTGGTACCAAAACAGCTTCACGTCGTTCCATTCGAGTGTGTGGAATCCAAATTGTCCATGCCTGATTTTACCTCGCCTGCCCCCCCCACCCAGTTTCTTACCATCAGTGTCACCTGCCTTTTTGTTTGTTCTCACTTTTAACTGTTTCTTGCAAATAACTTCCAGAGCCTTCCCCATCCCGAAGCTCTTCTTCACCTTCCTCTGTCTCTCTCCACGATTCTCTTCCTTTTTCAGGGACAAAAAAAGAAAAAATAGAAGTGTGCTAAATTATTTTTTTTCTCTCTTAAAAAGATTATTTTTTCCATTTTAAAGAAACTATACTTTTATAAATACACTAAAAAAATACAAAAAGAGGGGGCGCCTGGGTGGCTCAGATGGTTAAGCATCTGCCTTCAGCTCGGGTCATGGTCCCGGGGTCCTGGGATCGAGCCCCATATCGGGCTCCTGGCTCAGCGAGGAGCCTGCTTCTCCCTCTCCCTCTGCCTCTCTCCCTGCTCATGCTTTCTCTCTCTCTCTCTGTATCTGTGTGTCTCAAATGAATAAATAAAATCTTTAAAAAAAAAAATACAAAAAGAGGAAAATTTTTACCATCACTCCTGGCCCTATTTACTGTTGATGTTTCTATATATTAGTCCTTTATGTATATTTGTCTTACACATCTCTAATCGTGCTTTCTGTACAGTTATTCCTATTTCCTTATAGTTTAA